GGCTTCGGATGCTGAATCTGACCTATATTTTATGGATGAGTGACCAGGTTAAAGTTTTTGGAACAGAAGTCATTTCCAAGTATCTATAAATCCTATATTGACCAAACTTGCATGGATGATACATCTAAGGATGCACACTACTGGACTTGCTTCGGATGCTGGATCTGACCTAAATTTTTGGGATGAGTGACCAGGTTAAGGTTTTTGGAGCAGATCTCATTTCCAAGTAACTATAAACCCTATATTGACCAAACTTGCATGGATGATACATCTAAGGATGCACACTACTGGACTTGCTTCGGATGATGAATCTGACGTAAATTTTTGGGATGAGTGACCAGGTTAAAGTTTTTGGAGCAGATGTCATTTCCAAGTAACTATAAACCCTATATTGACTAAACTTGCATGGATGATACATCTAAAGATGCACACTACTGGACTTGCTTCGGATGCTGGATCTGAACTACATTTTCCCGATGAGTAACCAGTTTTTGGAGCAGGTCTCATTTTCAAGTAACTATAAGGCCTATCTGAACCAAACTTGCATGGATGATGCATCAAGGGACAAACAATCTCAAAACTTGCTTCAGATGCTGGATTTGACTTACATTTTCTGGATGAGTGACTAGTTTTAAGATTTCAGATAAGTCTATTCCCAAGTAACTACAAGCCCTATCAGACCAAAATTGCATAAATATTGCATCTAGTGATGCACACACAGGCACTTGGGGTATGGACCCCCCCCCCCCCCCTTTTCCATCTTTTTTTTTAAATCTGGGGTCAAGTCACCTTTTTCCTATTTTTATATTCTAATATGCACTATATATTATCAATAATGTAACTCTTTTGTCTCTGTATGCTGTTTTTAAATATACCGTTTTCGACTGATACATAAAAAGAGAGAAGGCTTGCAACTCTCGTCGTCTGCCTCACCTCGCTTAAACTTCGCCTGATTATTTATCTAAAGCATAAGAACACATGGGATATGCATACATCAATAAATTTGTTACACATTCTTCTTCTTTTTCATTTTTCCATTGAATTTTTATGTGCCCCCGATTTGTAAATATTTCGATTAAATCAACCGCATCTAGGGTAAATTTTGTTGATGTGCACTAACTGGGACGGAAGTGCAATAACGGTAACTCTTAACTATACAAATGTTCTGCATTAAATAAAAATTCCAAGCTTTGTAATCAAAAAATATTGAGAAATTTGGTTGTCTAGTTCGTATGTTAAATGTTAATCTTCATCCATTAGAATCTGATAGTTAGAGTTATCTTGTTATACACAGAACTTACCGTTACATGTAATATGAAGAGAAAATTCGGGATTTTTCCCTCTTGTATTTAATGTTCCAAATGACATTACACTTAATGATGACGCCCGAAAATACCGGACACTTCCGTCCCAGCTAGTGCACATCAACAAAATTTACCCTAGATGCGGTTGATTTAATCGAAATATTTACAAATCGGGGGCACATAAAAATTCAATGGAAATATGAAAAGGAAGAAGAATGTGTAACAAATTTATTGATGTATGCATATCCCATGTGTTCTTATGCTTTAGATAAATAATCAAGTTTAAGCGAGGTGAGGCAGACGACGAGAAAAGAGTTGCAAGCCTTCTCTCTTTTTATGTATCAGTCGAAAACGGTATATTTAAAAACAGCATACAGAGACAAAAGAGTCACATTATTGATAATATATAGTGCATATTAGAATATAAAAATAGGAAAAAGGTGACTCGACCCCAGATTTAAAAAGAAAAAAAGATGGAAAAGGGGGGGGGGGTCCATACCCCAAGTGCCTGTGGATGCACACTCCTAGATTATTAGTTTAGTGTGGGACTTTGCCTTACTTAAAGACAACATTCGTTGAGGTGAGCTCTGTAATCTCTGATTACCTATGTTTTTCCCCTATTTCCGTGTGAAATCGGCATAGAAAATTATATACTGAATGAAATATTTCTTTTATTGTTGTAACGCAGACAGTATGGCTGCCTTAAGGAACATGATGTGACTGGGTATCGTGATGCACTTTGTACTCCTTTGTTCAATAGGATTTACAGATTTAAGGCCAGTAGAGAAACATAAAGATTTTTCCATTTTTCAGTGTCCTTATTGAACATAAAACATTTACATTGAACCAGTGAGTTGAACCTTATATATACAAGTAAAATACAACTTTAGACGATACTTTGATTCGATATATGGTCTAAATAAACATTTAAGGACTTGTCTAGTCGGAAACACACACACACAAATGGTATTGCTGAAAGAACATGTGTGAATTTTTCAAGTCGGTAACACTAGATAGGGTTTGCTTATAACCGGAGTGTGTCATGGCTTGATGCAAGGTCATTTGGAAAAGTTCAAGGTCACCACTGTACTCTCCTTTACTATCTATGTACTGGCAAAACATTGCAGGTTGATATTACAAGACTGCTTATAACGTTAGAATGTGGCATAGCCTTGAGTCAAAGTCCCTACTTCAACGGGACCTACTCGTTGCTTTGCAACGAGCTCTGCTCTAGTTGTTTCTAATCTTTGTATATCTTCATAAAAACAGTTTTTGTAGTCCATTTAATATCGACCATAAATTGACCTGAACCACGTATTCGAAGAAAAATGTAAACGTGTAGTTGGCGTAAATGTTGTTTTTCATTCAATGATTGGTCAATTGCACTGTGCGCATTAATAACGATCGCCATATATGGTAAACAAAGGTTTGTCAGTGTAGATGATTCTACCAGCGTATCGGGCCATTTTGGAAAAATTGTCGCTAGTGAGCTTCAATTTTCACCGTAATTTAATTATCACAAAAGCAAAAATAAAGTAGATTGTGATTTTTAACCCCCCCCCCCCCAATTCTCTGTTTAAAATCATGAAAATCTTTCAAAAAAGTGTGAAAACACATTTTTCATAGGACATGTTTTTAAAAGAAACAAACTATAGCAATTTCCTGTTTATGGCCCATTTTATTTATAAAACCGGTCCTAGCCTATAACCTTTGAATAGGTCAACGTACACCACGTGTCTTGAATTTAAATCACAATAACATTAGTAGGGGTGAAGAAATTGATGCATTATTCTGAAATTGAGCCCTTTACAATATTAAAGGTTGATTCTATATCAAAGATGTAATTCAATGAACAATGAAATTTATCTTATTTAGTAAACTCTTCACGTCTCTTAGACATTCAAGATGGGATTCATTTCGTTGTCCTCGATTCTAGATCCGATCATATTAAACTATTGAAAGTACTTTTTGTTTTATACATTAATAATTCTTTTTTATTTCTTTTATACCTAACTCAAAATAAAATAATTTAGAAGATCTATAAGATAAGGAAGTAGCGAAAGGAATCAGGGGATCGCTAGTAAATAAAACGGGGATAATTCCAAAACTGTTCTAATTAAAATTTATTACCCTTTTTGTGAAATCTGAAAAACACCGAATATCCGAATCTCAAATTCATATTCGAATATAAACTCATCGAATGAATATTCGAATATTCGATGACATCTCTAATCGTTATACATGTGTATTTGTCTTGCTTTTGGGCAACATAGTTTCATCCAGAGGGGCTTATTATCCGCTCTTTATTACTCATATAAATATTACATGTACACAAAGAACAATTATTACATGAGTAATAGAGAACAGAGCGAATAAGATGTCTCATCATTTTTCTTTTCCTAGTGATTAAAAACATCTTTCCAACACAACATTTATTGCTATTCTTGCATTTAAATTTTTATTGTAAAAAATTTGCTTGTCCCCATAGAGCTCAATTCAATCTTTATTGATTAATTACACATGATCTACTTAGATAATAGTATTTTTGAAAAATTTTCTTCGAAATTTCTTTTCTACTCTAAAATGCTTTAATTAATATCAGAGTATTTTATGCATGATGGATTTTTAAGGTTAGAAAATTATGTCCTAATATGGGTCGGTTACTTTAATTTCTTTAGACAATTGTATTTTTAACTTGTCTTTTCCATTTCTTACGTGACAGGTTCTACATGTACGACTTCAACTCAAGCTGTAAATTTCTAAGGCCTGGACAATACATAGTCCTTGTATTAAAAAACATACTGTCCTTAAGGATATCCTCTCCTTAGCCAGGAAGGATTACTCTAAAAATCAATAATTTAAAAAGTCTCAAAATGAAGCTTGAAATCTTTTTCATGCATCTTAATCAGCTGATTCTCAGTTTTTTGAATTCTTAGAAAGGGTCTAAAAAAGTTGATAGCTTATTAGTATGTAATGAAATTAGAAGTGGTCTGTGATGTGTTGCAATGATAACACAAGCTTTTTACACTATGTATTACATAATAATTGAAGTGAATAGAAGAACTAAAATACTGAATAAGTATAAGAACATGCAAATTTATCTGATGCCTGGATACCTAAAGTTTTTAAATCCTAAAATATATTTGTTGATCCATTTTTAATTAGAAAACTTTAGCAAGTAATTCTAATCACGTTTTCTAAATATATATTTGAGGTTTGATAAAGTATAATGATTTAATTTTTAAGAAATACTTTGGATAAATATAAATTACTTTGTGAATTCTGAGACATTTTTGCGGTTATTTTTTTTAACTGCTGATTTTATGAACCTGAGGATTGGAGTATCATAAAATTTATTATGAATATGCTTCACTGACAACAGAAGACTATTCCATTGGTGATGCAATTGTTATGCAGGAAATGATGTGTACTAACATACTAAAAGGAAGTCCAAACTAAATCCAAACTGTATGGGACAACTACGCATATCTTGAACCCAAGCATATCTCTAAGTTTTGATAAATTTTTTAAGTACAGCACTGTTATTCCATGTATTCACATTCAGTATTTTTTTTTTTTATGTTTATATCATTTGAATTTGTTTTTTACATTCAAGCGCCAAATAAACACACTCTAAACCTTGTCACTAATAATGTCAATTTTTCTTAAAAAAAAAAAAAAAGAAAAAGAAAAATGAAAATTTTACTTTTCAAATTTATTCAACTTTTTTCTGTTCATGCAGGATTCATTTGTGTTATTCAACTTTCCTGTCAAAATGGCTCATCTGTCTTTTATGCACACCAGTTTTCAAAGTCATAATAAGGATGATTGAAAACACATATTTATAAAGACACAAAATTAGAGAACGTATATATTGATTTTTTTAAGTCATAAAAAAACCCTGACAAGACTCAGAGCACAATATTCAATTGTTAGCATGGCAAAGAAATGACCAACAACATCCAATATAATTCAGTGAATAAACATTACCTTGCATTACCTTAAGAAAATTTTCAAAAGATGTCAAGAAATTTTAACTAATTCTTATTTATTTCTCTTCTCACTCAAGATCTTTAATGTCAAGTTTGGTTTGAAATTGATCCAGTGGCTCTGTGTCAAGTTCAGCTGAAATTGACCCAGTGGCTCTGGAGACAATGAAAATATTAAAATATGGATGAACAGTTGAAGAAACTCTGACAAAATGTGAAAAATAAATATCACTTAAGCTTTTATGGGATCTAAAAAGGATTAACTACACAGTGAGAAGTCTCTCGTCTTCAGGCAAGCTTGGGACGACGGCATTAACACTCTCAAGTTCTTAACATGCAAAGCATTGTGGATTTTCTACATAAAAAGTACTTCTACAGTATCTTGCATAAAAAATTACATACACAATCATTTATCAAGAACTTATCAAGTACTTTCAAAGGAATTCTGGCATCTCCAGTCTTCTCTTTGTACATGTTCAAATAATGCTGCACGGTTTTGATTGTCTCCTTTCTTTACCCAATGTCCATACATTTTGAAAGTGCAGCTATCTATGAGTTTGCGGAAGTTTTTAATGCTATATGGATTAGTTCTTACAGTATCCACTGGTATTGGTGGGGGGTTGTAGTAAAAGAATCGAAGTCTATGGAAAAATCTCACACAAAAAACACCAGCCTGAAAGCAAAACAGTGTTTGAAAGTACTAGTCTGTGGAATCTTTAGATAGATAATGTGATAAACAAGCCTTTCAAAGCAATTTACTGTAATGTCTTGCTACTCCAGTTACTTCAGCCATTCATTCCACTTTGTTGAGTACTAGTATCTCATAACATGTCTAAATTATTCCCTCTTTAGAAGTCAAGAATGATTATTCATGAATAAAAAACTTCGATGAGGGTTCGAATTCACTGTGGGACATGGAGAACGGTCGTTTGGATGAGACTGTATAAACCGAGGTCCCCTGTCACAGTAGGTGTTGGCACGAAAAAGATCCTTCACTGCTCAATGGCCCTAACTGCTGAGTATAAGTATAAATTTACAGTCCTCCACCAGCAAGTGGTGGCATCTCCATATGAGTGAAAAATTCTTGAGAGGAATGTTAAACAATAAACAAAAATCAAGAGGCCCAAGGACCTTGAATCTCTCTTCTGATTAATTGTACAACCTATAACTTCTATTTGAAGCCTTTAAGTATCCTGAAAATTAGATAAAGCCTTGAAATTCCAAAAGTAGGTCATCATGACCCACATTTTGATTAAAAGACTCTGAGAACCCAAGATGAATGAATCAACTGACAAAATTTGATGATTCTAATTAGTACTTGAAATACTTAAATACAGCCATTGGATTTCAAAAGTAGGTCAGGGTGACCTACTTTTCAGTTGACATACTTTGAGGACACATACAAGGTTTGATGATTCTATGCCAATTAGTACCTGAAAAATTTAAATATACCAGAGCCATAAGATTTTTTAAAATAGGTTATGGTAACCTACTTTTCTGTAGATGTATTCTGAGGACCCAGGATGCATCAACTGACAAAATTTGATGATTCTAAGCCAATTAGTATCTGAAATATTTAAATATAGCCCACAGAATTTCAAAAGTAGGTCTCAGTGACCTACTTTTCAGCTGTCATACTTTGAAGACTGACAAAATTTAATGATTCTAAGCCAATTAGTACCTAAGATATTTAAATATAACCATAAATTTTTAAAGCAGGTCATGGTGACCTACTTTTAAATTGACATACTCCAAGGACCCAATAGGCATCAACTGACAAAGTTTGATGATTCAGTAAGCCAATAAGTACCTGAAATATTTAAATATTGCCATAAAATTTCAAAAGCAGGTCATGGTGACCTCTTTTTCAGTTGTTGTACTCCGAGGACCCAAGATGCATTAACTGACAAAGTTTGATGATCTTAGGTCTAAAAGTGTCCAAAATATGCCTCTAAATCAATTTGAAAACAAATGCCTCCAAAATTCAAAAAGTAGGTCACTATGACCTACTTTTGAGTCAGCATAATATGAGGTCCTAAGGTGCATCAAACTGACAAAATTTGATGATCCTAGTCCTTATAGTAAGCAAAATATCATTATTTTTGGTCAACTTTGAAGTGATCTTGAGACCACGCCCTTTGCCCCAGGGTGATGCCTTGAACAAGTTTTTATCTACAACATATCATCATCCTTATGTGTAAGTTTGGTGATAATCTGTCCAGTGGTCCTTGAGAAGATTTTTTAGCAATCAAAAATAGGAATGTGACCATAAATGAGAGCCCTTGGGCCAGGATACTCTGTGACATATTTGACAAAAATTGGTCAAGGGGTTCTTGAGTTATGGCCAATATTCAAAAAAGTTGATGCACTCCGCACAAATGGCCATAGCATTAGCTCTTTGAGCCTTTGGCTCAGAAGAGCTAATAAACAACTTATAAGTAAAAGAATTAATAAGTTATGTCACTTATTAGAAATTTGTTGAAGTGACTGACAACTGTAATGAGGCTAACATTTTTTATGAAATCTATTGACCATATTTTTGGAAAACTGAAATAAAAGAGACCATTTGTTTTCATTTTTAGCTCACCTAAGCTGAAAGCTCAAGTGAGCTTTTTTGATCACCTGGTGTCCAGCATCCGTCCGTCTGTCTGTCCGTCCGTCTGTAAACTTTTCATATTTTCAACTTCTTCTCAAGAACCATGGGCCAATTTTAACAAAAGTTGGAAAAAAGCATCCCTGGGTGAAGGGGATTCTAAATTGTTAAAATGAAGGGCCAAGCCTCCCTCCAAGGGGAGATAATCAAGAAAAGGCAAATATAGGTTGGGGTCATTAAAAATCTTTTTCTCAAGAACCACTGGACCAGAAAAGCTGAAACTTATGTGGAAGCTTTCATTAGTAGATTGTAGATTCTAAATTGTTCAAATCATGACCCCTAGGGGTAGGGTAGGACCATAACAGGGAATCGAAGTTTTGCATTGAAATATAATTGAAAAATCTTTAAAAAAATCTTCTTTTCAAGAACCACTGGGCCAGAAAAGTTGAAACCTTAAATGGAAACATTTTGGGGTGGTGTAGATTCTAAATTGTTTAAATCGTGGCCCCCAGGGGTAGGGTGGGGCCACTAAAGGGAATTCAAGTTTTACATTGATATATATAGGAAAAATCTTTAAAAATCTTCTCAAGAACCACTGGGCTAGAAAAGCTGAAAATTATGTGAAAGCATCCTGGGGTAGTGTAGATTCTAAATTGTTCAAACCATGGGGGTAGGGTGGAGCCACAATAGGGAATCTAAGTTTAACATTGAAACATACAGGAAAAATATTTAAAAGCCTTCTTCTCAACAACCTTAGGACTACAAAAACTGAAACTTAGAGGTGGAAGCTTCCTGAGGAAGGGTAGATTCTAAATTGTTCAAATCATGGCCCATGGGTAGTGTGGGGCCACAATGAGTATTACAAGAGGAAAATCTGGTGAACAGCAAGTCCAAAGTTACTCAGGTAAGCGTTGTGGCCCATTGGCCTCTTGTTATAAATTGCGCCAACTTGACACATGCTATACATATAATAGATAGTCAAATTTGTTTTTTATTTTTATAAATTGTGCCAACTTGACACATATAATATGCGTAATAGATAAGGTTACAGCCTCTCAAGCTGAAGGACCTTTGATCCAGGGATTTCTCATACATTTTTTTTTAAGTTTCGCTCTTGTGTATTCATTTTTTTTTTTAGAATTCCAAAATAGATAAATTTGATATCATTATAAAAGAAACACAAAAATTATAAATTGCTGAGTTAAAAAATAAGTAAAATATCTAATAAAATGATATAACTGAAAGGCCATTGAAAAGTACCGAATAGTCGACTGAATGGTAAATGAAAGATCACAGAAAAGTCATTGACAAGGGTCCTTTCAGTGACTTTTCAGTGGGCATTCATTTACCATTCCATCAACTGAAAGGTGCAATTTTATCCAGTGATAGGGTCTCATCCGAGGAACCGGTCTCCATGTCCTGCACTGAGATTTGAACCAACTACATTAGGAGCTCTAACCACTGCACCATGCAGGCGACCAGGTTTACTGAGAAGATCTCTAAAGATGCCATAAAATTTTCACTTATTCTTAATTATCTCTCCTTGAAAGAAGAAATGGCCCTTCACAACAAACTTAGATTATTCCTTCACCCAAGGATACGTTATGGCAATTTTGGTCTAGTCGTTCCTGAGAAAAGTGGGAAATGTGAAGAGTTTTCACACAACAGAAGGACACTGGACACCAATATTTAGAACAAGAGACCCATGGACCACATCGCTAACCTGAACAAATTGGCTAGGAAAAAGCTGAAATCAGATTAGCATTGAAAAGATTTAATATATAAGTGATCGCAAATACCCCCAAACCCCCAACCCCCAGGAAAATGGGGGCATGATTTGTTTACACTTGAATCTACACTAACTGAACATGCTTCTATATTTCTTTGACTAATCATGGCTTTAGATTTTTTTCTATTTGTTTGATTTTCTATTGTGGCCCTGCCCCATACCCGGGGAATATGATTTAAACAAACTTGAATCTACACTACGCAAGGATGCTTTTGAATTAATTCTACTAATCATGGATCTGCTGTTATTGGGAAGAAATTTTTGTCCCCCGCTTTTCACTGATTAATTTGGGTCAGTCTATATATCAACTATTGTCTTATCTAGTCTACCTAAGCTCTGCGTGCATTGATGTGACGCAAAATTTCGTTCACGTGTGCTTCCTGAAAAAAAACCCCAATGTGACAAGAAAAATACATGTCCATTGCTAAAAATAGTTTTCTCTTCTTTTAAATTTTTCAGATAAATTGAAAATGTTAAAAGTTCTAGAATTCAATGATCTCCAAGTCAAATTAAAATGGTCACCAATTTATTGATTTATAGAAAAGTTTTAGGTGCCAATCAAAAATTTTAGGACCATGGCGACTAAAGTCGCCAATTAGATCCTGAAGTAAAACTTTGTTTGCCCATTGTGACCTCACCTAGCCCAGCGGGTCATGATTTAACACACTTGAATCTACATTACCCAAGGCTGCTTCCATATAAATCACCAATCATGGCTTTGCTGTTCTTGAGAAGAACAAACTTGAATCCCCTTTACCCAAGAATACTCTGTGCCAAATTTGGTTGAAATTAGCCCAGTGGTTATACAGCAGAAGATGAAATTGTAAAAAGTTTTACATCAACGACAGACAACGGACAAATTTTGATCAGTTAAGCTCACTTGAGCCTTCGGTTTGAAGCTTCTGAGTTGCTCCTTTGCTATATCCTTTACTTTTGCTGTTTTAAGAAATCTATTCCTGATCACTTACCCTAAATGTCCTCCTTGGGAAAAATTGTTTTGGTGGTTTTAGCTGCCATTGAATATAAGATGAAAATTAGCACCATAAATTATTTCAAAATGCTATATACTTTTGTTCAAAATATCACAAATATGCCATTTTTTTTACTTCGTTGGAAATACTTATTTAAAATTTGTTAAATCAATTTTTATAGATAATAAAATAATATAAATATGTTTTAAAGTTCATTGAAGATTGCATGATTAAAGAAATAGCTTTATCAACAAGAAGCCCAAGGGCCTTAACAGTCACCTGAATATAATACAACAATTTACAATGTAGAGGATCCATAGAATATAAAATAAACTGATAGATGAAGCTTTGTTGCTCAAAAGCAAGAGAAATAGGATGATCAGGATCTACAAAATAATTAGTCTAGTACTCAGTAACAACTCATAAACTAAGTTTTAATCTGTCCCCTATTTATCACCTCACCATGCAGACTATTAACAAACTATTAGTGTTTCTGTACTATTTTCATCCCATATTATAACCTATCTTGGTCTCTGAAGAACAATTAATAAGATCATTTATTTTTGTTTGATGTTTATTTATCAGTTATTTACAAGTCTATCTGATCATTAAAATTATTAAAGTACTTTTTGTATTATACAATAATTTTTTTTTTACACAATTCACTTATTCTATTAACCTTTCAAATACATTATTTACAGTGATTAATTATCAAAAGTGAATGGCAATGGGGGATAACTTCTCTCCATGGAATACAAATTAATAGAGCCTTGGCCAGGACCAAAACACTTGACCAAATGGTCCAGACGTTCAAAAATCTGGTAAAAATACCCTTGCTTATTAGGACTTTTACACTGTTTGCCTTTGATATGCCCAGGAGCAGAGAAGATTTTCAAAGAAATAACACACTTTCTGTAATGATCCAACACAGTTCTACCCAAAGACCAGAACCCATGACCCAGGGTCATGAAATTCACAAATTTGGAAGAGCCCTCATCATCATAACTATGCACCCAATTGAAGATTTTCAAATAATTAACACATTTTCACTATATTATCAAGAGAGCCCCCCCCCCCCTAAAAAAAATACTAGAACCCCTCACCCTGGGACCACAAGTTTTAAAAATTTTGTAAGAACCACCCTTGCTCAACATATCTATAAAGTTTGTGTATCTGCTCAACACCAAGGTGAGAATAATTCATTGAATCATAAAGACAAAATTTTCTAACCTCAAATTACTATGATTTCTTAAAAAAATAGAGTCTTAAAATTTTCATTAGCATTTGACATGTGATATCTCCTTCAGTGCCTTCAGTACAGATAAAATTATTTTGAAATCATATCAAGAAACTGCAAAGAATTCTACATTTTATGGTGTTTTAGTCATAAAAAAAATTATTAACAAATAACTCTGCAATAATATTTTAGAAAAATGCATTTTTCAATGAAATATTTAGTGGAAAAATAAAACTATGACTCACTTATGACCAGGTACTGTTGCTTCTCTGCTTTATAACCAGGAGCAGAAAGAATATTTTCAAAGAAATAATGCTTTTTCATTATATAATCAATAGACTCCCCCTCACCAGAACCCCTGACCCTGGGGCCATGAAATTCACAATTTTGGAAAAGTCATCCTTGCTTATCATATCCACGTACTTAATTTTTTAAAATAATATCCAGGAACAGAGAAGAAGATTTTCAAAGAATTAATGCATTTTTCACTATATAATCAATAGAGCCCTGCCCTAACACCAGAACCTATGACCCAGGAGCCATGAATTTCAAAATTTGGAAAAGGCATCCTTGCTCATCATAACTATGTACTTAATTAGTCTGTTTAATACCAAAGAGCAGAGATTTTCAAAGAATTAATGCATTTTCACTATATAATCAATAGAGCCCTGCCCTAACACCAGAACCTATGACCCAGGAGCCATGAATTTCAAAATTTTGGAAAAGGCATCCTTGCTCATCATAACTATGTACTTATTTAGTCTGTTTAATACCCAAGAGCAGAGAAGATTTTCAAAGAATTAATGCATTTTCACTATATAATAAATAGAGCCCTGCCCTAACACCAGAACCCCTGACCCGAGGGCCATGAAATTCAAAATTTTGGAATGGGCACCCTTTTTCATCATAACTATGTACTTAGTCTGTTTAATACCCAGGAGCAGAGAAGAAGATTTTCAAAGAACTACTACATTTTCACTATATGATCTATATAGCCCCGTCCTTGCACCAGGACCTCTGACCCAGAGGCCATGAAATTAACAATTTTGGTAGAGGCATCCTTGCTTATCATAACTACATGTATGTACTTAACCTCTGACCCTGGGGCCATGAATTTCACAATTTTGGTAGAAGACTCAATGCTTATTACAATCATGAAAACAGTTCAACTGCTTGATGACCATGAGAAAAAAAGAAGATTTTTAAATTTTAAATTTGATGGTTTTAGCCCCATCCCTCAGGCCCCAGAGAGGCAGGGACCATGAAATTCATAAATTTTGTTCCCCTTCACCCATAGATGCCATATGCTAAAATTTCCTGAAATTACTTCAGCGGTTTCAGAGAAGAAGCAGAAAATGTTCAAATGTTAACACATGATGGAAGACAACCGACGAAAACAGATAGCAATAGGTCACTGAGTTACTCAGGTGACCTAATAGAGGGTCACCTCTCTCTTGAAGAAAGGAGATGCCAGGGCCTGGTCAGCTGATAATCGTTGTTTTGGATCAACCATTAACAAGTTTGAAATCTAGAAATATGAAAAAGATAAGTTATCTCCTTTTATATGCTCTTTTTTCCACATTTCATATAATTTCAACATTCATTTCACTATAATGTTTGATGTACATTATCAAACATTCCTCTCCTGTGGTGTAGGTACTAATTATAACAAATAATACATCATACATTTCTCAACTGTCTTAGAGCTTACGAAACGATGCCCTGAGCATTTGAGTAAGAGTTGTATACGGAAATGAGTTCATATGAGCTATTTTAATAAGCCTGAAATTATATATTTTGGATTTTTTATGCAAGGTAGCGGCAGCAAAGTCGATCAAGATTACTCGATCATGAAAATGATCTTCAACTGATGCGGCTTATCTCCCTTTGCTTATGATGACATTAAGACCCAGTCGCTGTTTAGCGCTGTGCAGAGTACTTATATGTATACAAAGGATAATGTAAATTTTTTCATAATCATGGCTAGAACCTTATATAAGTATATGATGTTCAAACAAATTAGTATTTCTTTTTCTAAATTCCATTGCATATTTGCAAGATATCTGTGTAATTTCAATTGGATTACCGGGGCATTGTCATCCTTCGACACTTTAAATAATCTCACTCTCTCTATCTCCTGTTTTTTTAGAGAGTTCTTGAATACCAGTAATCTCTTTATTTTCAAAACACTCGCAGATAGTTTTCTTTTTTAAATCAACAACCCAGAAAAGCGTGTACATGTAATAATATTGACACTTTAAATAATCTCACTCTAACTCTCTCCTCTTTTTTGAGAGAGTCCTTGAATAATCTCTTTATTTTCAAAACACTCGCAGATAGTTTTCTTTTTTAAATCAACAACCCAGGAAAAGCGTGTACATATAATAATATCGACACTTTAAATAATCTAACTCTCTCCTCTTTTTTGAGAGAGTCCTTGAATAATCTCTTTATTTTCAAAACACCCAGAGATAGTTTTCTTTTTTAAATCAACAACCCAGAAAAAGTTGTGTACATATAATAATAATGAGGTTAGTAGAAACAACATCAAATATTTTCATTTAGTACAGTGTAAATGTAATAAAAAGTAACTTAAGGGTTAAAAATAGTGGAAATCTTTGTTTCAGTTTAGTGAATAAATACACATATTTTCCTGTATTTTTTTTTCTTACCAAAATAAAATTTGCAATATACCTGTAATTATCATCGTAATAATTTAGAAAACCGACTTTAAACACAGTTCTATCTATGTAAAACTGCTTACTTTTTCTGTGTCTGTATTTTTACAAACTAAATTATTTAAATGTGTATTAGTTTATTATCACAGAGGTCACAAGATCTGATTTAAAAATTTTGTTTAACTTTAAAAATATTAATCGGCTTGGCCAAGATCAGGTGCCCATTTCCAACTAAATGCTGTTATATAGATGTAACTCTTTATAGTTACATCTAATCTAAATGTCTTTTGTTGCATTGCAAAGAGCAGAATGAGAGCTTTCCATTGGTATATAATATCGTATATATAGAATCTGCGTCTTTGAAAAAACAACAGAATAAAGTCACAGATTCATAATTTTTGAAGCGTTATGCTGTTGCACTTGATTTTTTACATTTTAAAAAATGGTTAATTAAAATTATTTTGAATGAAACATTTAAAAATAAATATACTTACTTATAGAAAAATCACTCTGGTTTAGTTTATTTTTTACAGAAAAGAAAAAGGATAAAAATTGTGGAAATTATGAATAAATGCTTTGTTATATAATTTAAGATTTATCAATGTTGGAATAAATGCATAATTTTTAGCAAAAAAGAGCAAATATAATGTTTTAAATTTTGTTTATCTTACTTAAGAAAAAAAGTACTATGAGAAAAATATGGTGGTTATATGGTAAAATGTGTGCACATTTTGTATTTTTTTTCCCATACTGGTCAAAGTTTTTGTATAGTCCGTAGCCCCATATTTCATTATAGTTTGAGTTCAACAAAAGAATGTATAATTAATCATGCTCTTGTTTGATATTTTCACAATTACCAGTCAAATAAAAAAACAGTAATGAATAGCTTTTGCGCTAACATCAAAAGAAGTTATTAAAGAATAATTGGTGTCCGTAGCCCTGTATAGTCCGTAGCCCTAATATAAAAGCTTCCAGAAAAAGTCATATACATTATTGATACAATAACTACAATACAGTAATATCTTTATTCAAAAAAATGCAATGTTTTAAATACAAATACCACTGTAATTAAAGATGAGATGTCTGAAAATTAATATTTTTCAACTGAAGGCTTGCTTCTGTAGTCTGTCCTGTTATGTTTGTGGTCACAACATATTTCTAAATATACATGAACAAGTTTCCCTTCTTGTGATACATACTGTCAATCCATTTAGAATAATTTGCATTGTAATATTTTTAAAAGGATATTTGGCCACAAAAATCCTACTTACAAAAGGGCTACGGACTCTACAAATGAATTTAGCAAATTTACAGACCATATAACCGTACTTCTGTATTAGCAAGATTTTTTTCCCTGCCTGCATCTACTGCAAAATTGGGCTTCAATGGTTTATTACTTCTCATCAACCAGTCTTAACATCCCATAGTGGGATTTGATCCCAAAACATAAGGATCAACTCCTTACTTTGCAATTTAGTACAAAGTGAGACCTTCACTCTTATAATTTTGCCACTCAATCTACTTGTCACTGAATTGTTAATTTAAAAAAAGCATTGATTCTTGATGGATAGATATTGTATTAATCATATTTTTACTTCAAATCATAGTTTGTAACTTTTTTATGAATTACACCATATGATCATATGATATTATATACCAATATACCTTTTGAATGAACACCTTGAGCTCCATATATTACATTAAAATTAAAAAAAAATATGAAGCAATATATTCTGTACCCCCCCCCCCCAAAAAAAAAAATCATGCCTTGATTTAAATACAGCTCCTTTTGCTTTTATTCATTATAGTTTTATAGTTTGAACCCCAATAATGCATTAATTAGTTGAACTGGAATTTCATTTGGCGTTGAAAGTACACAATACATAAGACAATTGATTTTTAAATATGGTATTTTGAATACTCGAACTCAGGAGTGTGAACTTTTATAGAATGCAAAATAATTTTTAAAAAATGCACAAAATTTAATTATTCAATTATATTTTCTTTAAGTTGATTGTCCACAATAGAGATGTTTAACGGTATAGTCCGTAGCCCCAGTGCTCACATGAAATCCAGCCATCACAGATGCTAAATTAAAGCCCATTCTTGGTCTCCAGATGGTCTTGAACTATATTTTGTTATCAAAACACCAATTACATGTAATTCTGACATGTATTATTTTGTTCTGACAATTTATATTTTACTCGTATTGTGAATTTATTTGAAGTTTTCGTTTTATTTTGTTAAATTTCACGGGATTTTTGTATAAATTGATGAAATATCCAAATGAAATGATTTATTAAACACGTGTGAACTCCATGATGACAATTTTAACAAATATTTACTGATACAAACAGGTATTTTTCTATGGTGTCTCAATAAATGAAAAATACTATATGTATAGTCCGTAGCCTGGGGTCTCAAAATAGTCAATCAAAAAATGTTTGACACAGTTTTTCTCTGAATATTACCAAATAAGTTTGAAATTTTCATCCCCACATACAATATTTTTAGAAAAAATGAAAGTACTTTAATGTATTTTTACTTCAGATGTCCAGATAATAAGAGTAGAAAAACTCCCAAAGATTAACAAATTTACCCATGTCCTTTTTACACTGTAACATTTTAATGGAAATGAGTTATGTGATTTTTCTTGCTCAGACAATGTTTTGTGAAGAGTTTGTATTTGAATTATACTTTTTTTGTTTAGTTGAATATGATAAAGATAAATGTTATGCCTGAATATGTATAGTCCGTAGCCCACTTGGGTCTCTGCTATATTAAGAAAGAAATCTTTTTAACCACTTGACAGAAATGGACAGAAATTTCAGACAATCTGCCGAAAGGATGTAGTGTTACATAGAACATATTTGTAATACATTTCGTTTGACTTCATTTTTTTGTTAATCTGCAACCAACATGGGTACCTGATCTTGGCCAAGCTGAATATTAAAAACTGATGAGGATCAGTCTCGCAAATGGTATGTAGTTTTAACTGATCTATTTGAGCACGAACTGTACAAGTGTTTTCAAATTGCAATAGCTGAGCCAAACTGTTACATGTATCTGCACTGTACAGTGCATGCATATAAAGAGGATATTCAATGTTTTGTAGATGAATATGGAATTTATTTCACAAGTGGGACAGGATTTTTTGATATTTTCACGAGTGCGAAGCACGTGTTAAAATAAAAAAAAAGTGAAATAAATTCCATATTCATCTTCAAAATATTGAATTTTCTGTTTATTACATTTTCTTTGATTTTCCCTTTGACTCTGTCTTTTCGTAACAGGGTTTCATAGGCGGGGACGTCATAGTTGAACAGTTGAAACGTCATAGCAAAGGGATTGCGAGATTGAAAAATGTTGTAAACATGGGTTTTTAATAACATATTTGGAGAAACTTTGGCAGTTTTAGTCTCTGTCAGGATGGTTCATTTACTCTCTCTATCTTATAACAGGCCAGGGAGTTTTTTTTAAAAACACTCTTGGCGATGGGATCAAGAGTTTTGTCACACTTCTGATATTCTCACACTGTGAGAATACCATTTTTGATGTCCTTTCACACTGTGTCAGAATATCCCTTTTATTCAATAAATAAATTACAGTATTTCACTGTTAAAAATTTCACTGTGAAAATGTAATAAATACATATTGGTAATGCCAGTGTTTTCAGCCATGTATTTTTTTAAATCATTATTTTTTATTATAGCAGAAGGGTGATGTCATCATTAACTCGGGTAGTTCATTTCTATATCGTTTTAATATCAGTCCTCGGGTTTCAAAATGCAGAAATTGCACATTCAAAGACGCCGACATTTTTCATTAAACCACATTATCATGAACTTCA